GCAGAAAGATGTGTCATACAGAGGAAATACGTATACAAAAATTTGTCCGGCAGTTAAAAAGTGCTATCAAACTTAATCATGACTACTCCACACTAAGCGATTGACTTAGATGTTATTAAACAAAAGGAGGGAGCATATTTAATAAAAAACATCAAGTGCACGAAGCTCCTAAACTTAATTCTGAAATGTTTAGCGCACATTTTTGTCTCACTGATGAACGAAATCCCTTAGACCGGTCTCAATACTTTCCTGGGAAATCACTTGAACAGACTTCATTTTACAGAATGTCTCCAAGCCAATTAACACGCTAAAACACTATTACCCTGAAGAACTGGACAATATAGCAGCTAAGGCCATACAAAGTGAAAGTGATGATGTGTCTCGTAATTCTTAAACTATTTCTAGTGTTATTCTTTACCACAAATGACCCTACCCACCAGAAAAACACACATGATTCAGGAAATTAAATCAGCATTTTCAGTAAATTTTGAAAGTAATCGTCTCATAGACATGACTTTTGTTGTATATAGAGCAATAAAGAGGATAGTTAAGATAGTAATTAAACACCCACTTGTCAATAATCTCATCTAAAGCTCCCAGCACGGTTCCAAAGCACTGTGTGAAAGTATAATGCAGAATCAAAGTGACCTTGATAACCCATCTGCTTAGAGTCAGACGTAACTACTATCTGTCGGACGTCACTACAAACTACCACTTCACTTAAATAAATGTAGCGTTCAGCTACTTAACTCAACGCATGATCTAGATATTGGTTGTACATGAAGTTTAAAATAATAATAGCAATAACTATCAGAAGTTATGGACAATTATTACATTTTCACAGATCGAAATCATGAGTCAGTTGAAGCTAGACCACCATTGAAAACCTGGAAGCACTGGACGGCCGTTTCGTCCTATTATAAGACTCCTCAGCAGTGCGCATCCACGACCCCGCACCACGCGGGGCTCGAACCCAGGACCTACTAGCTTCGCGCGCTAGCACTTAACCATTAGACCACTGAGCCGGCATCCAATTATTACATTTGTTTAGTGAAGTGATTATCAAGTAAGTGGTTTATATATACATGCGTATATAATATTATACTTTTGTCATAAGCTTTCATTTCACCCAACGGCTACTGCAATACGATTTACCATTCTTAATTTATTCTCAATTCATCGGTTACTGTTTCTCACACTCATAGCCACTTTTGACTTGACATTGTTTAATTATTATTTTTAATTTTATGGAGTGATGAGGTCTGGTCTGTTTGTATATAAACCACGTATGTCCAAAATAAACGATTCATACAGCGGTGGCTTTCATTTGTTTTCTGAACTAAATGGACTGGATTAGATCAAAAATTGCTACAGAGAAGACCAGAGAGGAGTCAGAGTTGACGCAAGGCTGCTAGTGCTGCCGAACGCGTCGTTGGTTCAACACAGGGGCAAGATCTTAAAAGTCGATATTTTGGTTAGCAATGTTGCCATGCAATATTTTGAAGGGCAATAAGGTACAACAATCTGGAACTAACAGTGCGTAACGAGTCTTTGGTTTTCGCGCTAATTTTGTATCCTGAGAACGATAAGGTACGCATTCACCATGAATAAGGAAATACTTTTCGTCCTTGTGTCTACATTTAATTGTCTGCCATATTAAGGCGAGAATTTGCTTGGTTTTAAAATCTCGGCACGGAGGAGAGGTGATCACAGTCAAGTCGAACTACAGAGAGTTATGGACTGACCCATGTAAATCCATAATCTCCCCCTAACGTTCATTCCTGTCATGACTCCTGGTTTAGCATCACGGATTTTATCAACAGTACGGAAGCATGTCAGTGGAGACAATGAATTACTATTTAAAGACATGAGGTTCATTATCGGTTACTAGTCGGGTCTGCAAAGGTTGATGAGTATAGGCGGCATGATGTATGATGCATATTCAACAAAGAGGTAATATTTACAGGATGATGAGTGTAAAAGTTAGAATGGCGACTGAAAGCCAAATAATCACCGATCAGAACATTACTCGCAACCATAGATTGCCACTGCCGGCTCATGTTTATGGTCATGCTGTAAATCGCTGCTAGTCCCCAGACAGATCCGACGATGGTACCTCCTGTTTACAGGTTATCTCCACTGTCTAAACCGGGAATACGTGAAAACGACGGCGTGATAAGACATTCAGTTAAACTGGCTAGGTAGTAAGTTGTTTAGTGTGCGATCAACTGTGATATGTACGTGGTGGCATGTATAACATCGCTGAGTCATTTGTATGTTGAAAATTGCCAGTGCTGTTTTAGGTGCTCTAAAATATTTATGCTTTCGTATTTCCACACGCATGATAAATACAATATATCGACATTCTGAAGCTGGTTTGATATCTGAATCGCAAAACTCACGATGCAGAAAATATCACTCACTCACTAATAAATTTAATACTTGATTACACAGTTTGTGTTGAATGAATTCGTCTATGTCATGGTACAAGGGCGTTGTCACTATAGTAAGATTTGAGAATGCAAACAAATTTAAGTATGAAGACTGTCGTAGTGTCACTGGACAATCTAGACATCGCTCGGGCATTTTACAAACAGACGATGTGAGGAAATGACAATATCATAAACTCCATATATAGTGTCATGACCTAAGGTGATCTTTTGTTTTAAACTAAAGGGCGTTTCTGCAGCAATATGTTGTCCTACGAAGAGCTTTAGTAAATCTTACTTTGATTAGAAGCTATACTGAATGAAGTTTCCTTGGAACGGTATTATAAGCATAGTGGAAGGCAATCCCATTCAATTATAAAGATAAATTAGCATAATTTCTGTACTCACATGGGTGGAATTTGAAAGAGACTTGACAGTAGGAGAATACTGAACCCTGGCTATATCGTTCTTAAGGCCGAATGTTCACTGACGTAGATTTACAATTTAAGTTGGATAGTAGATTCCAAATGGTGAAAATCAATAAAAAGAGACTTCGAAACATTAGTGAAACCGCATGGATTGGACATATTGTCATGGTCACTCCATGTACACATTATTCCTCTGGTAAGATTTCATTCGTTCCCCGAAGGTTCTAAAAAGACATACTGATATCCACAATAAAACAAGTCACGATAAGCAGTTATATCAAGACTAACCGAATAAACTAGAATTAATCTGTTGTTCTAGCAACATGCACACCTTAAATGACAAAGACCATAGTCTTAAATCTAACGGAACCACCTAGTAGTTCCATATGGTATAGCTGTCTTAGTTTTTTCATCGTTTATAAACGCATTGCCAAAATACCCCATGAACTGTAAAGAAAATACACTCCGGTTTCAACTATCTTAGAAGGTCCATTATCTCTTACTTCCGTATTCAATTAAACACGTCTTTTGCAATCATCGTCTTCCTCTTTTATCTCTGAGTCATCTTTAAAAATACCTGTATGCCATTATCATCCACCCCCATATCATCCAAAGGATCTTCAAGCTGCTTGAGAACGGAATCTACTGGTTCAGAGGCAGTATTATCTTCCTACTAGCCGTTTCTGTGTTGACAACCTTCTTTTTAGAGATGCTAAGTAGAAACTCAAAAGTGTTAACCGCTTTCATATGATGTTTACAAAGATGAACATAACGTTAGATCCGTGATCTCATTATGGACTTGTGTAGGGAAATTATAAAAACAAAGTGTCGGGTGCAGTACGATTTGGGGTTGGGAAATCTTCGTGCCGGCCATGACAAACTAACAATAAACACTACGTTACTATGAGTTCTTATGTGATGTACAGTCTGTGGTCCCATACCGCTTCTCCTCTGTATCAAATAAATGATGAGACTGTCAAGGTTGTCGTCACTTTAGCTATCTAACGAAATGAAACATCAACCAGTAACAAACAGTGACGTCAATGTTCTACAGTTTTGATGTGAGTGAGATTTTCTGAAAATTTGGTTTAAGAGACAGGAGACCTTTAGAGTGTACTAATACAAACCTGACATAAAGAACGATGGCAGTACACCATCGGCAGGAAAGAACCATCATTATTTCTGAAGAATCAACTTTCATAATACTATACTCCAATCTATCAGCCATTTGGATGGTTCTATGCATTCCATCACATCTCAGAGGCTTAAAATTTTCTTCAATAAATGTTTCAAGTCCTGCACCATACCTAATCGAGACTTATACTTGAATATTTCCCTTAAATATCCATTCCAATTTTTCTAAAAGATGTCGGCATTTTCATGCATTGGCAAAATTAATTACTGCTTCGGTCATTGGGCTCCCTAACCTGTCTCATCAGAAGCAAGTAAAATATTCAGCCCCATCTCTTCAGACGTAAGCAGTTTACGCGAGCTGGATGGGATGGAGGTACCTTCTACTTTACTTTGAAGTCACTAAACCTAATGAGGATTAAAGTTCGTGATATCTAGATACTGTGGCTTTATTGAAGGCCGTAAAGAACAAATATGATATTAAACATGCGTCGATAACGCTAAGTCGGAAAAATATACAGTGCGACCACCACCGATTTGACTAGCTGATGACGTGCGCTAGCCATTCTTGACCTCTACGGGGTCAGAAAGGCTATCCGAAGATCACTGACCTGTATTCTAGTATTGGTATGATTCATCTTATTGAATGATTTGGCTAACGTTCCATTAATGTTTTACGGGCTCTATATGCGGCGTCAGATTTATGACTAGTCACTACAATATTTTATATTAGCACCAAGTAATTCGAACGACTTAAATGAGATTAAGCTTTATATCTTTGATTCCCATAGAGTAATTCATCTTACCGTAAACGAAATATTTACAGGTCCCTATCGTTCACAGATTTTAATGTAGTCAACCAACGTGTGAATGCTCTGAAAGGGAAGCCGTACACTGGCATAAAAATACTCCTTTGGTATAAATACAGGCCAAATAATTTATCATCAAGAATTCTGAACAACATTCGGTAAAATGTGGATAAAAATTATTGAACATTGCTTTAATACACTGTATTGTCATATACGCTCACTCACACGGCGGCAGCTTCGAAATTTGGCAACCACGATGCAGAACGAGGCTGGAGAGTTTGTAGACATTTACATACCGAGAAGGTGTGCTGTTACTAACCGGCTGATTGGTGCAAAAGATCATGCTTCGATTCAAATTCAGTTCGTTGATTTGGACCCAAATACAGGACGCATGATTGGTGGAAGCAAAAAGACATATGATCTATCTGGATCAATCCGGTCGATGGTAAAATACATTTCTTTCTATGCAGCTTTGCAGGGTGAAGTAGATGATTGCATCAATATGCTAGCGGTCAGAGATAAGATGTTGCCACCGTAAGCATCTCATTCCTAATTATTATTAACTTATCAGAAACTTCTGCGAAAGGACGTTCTCGTGAAGAATTGGATAGAAAGTGTTTAATAAAGTTTCTTAACGACCATTCAACTTTATTGATTCTTCACTCGTTTGTGGTGGGCACGTATCTGTGATAATATCTAGGCTTTCGGTAATTAATGAGAGTTTTGAGTCCTTGCATTATGAGATTTACCGATGAAAAGCTCCCCCAATCTAGTGCACTTTACTTTTGCTCATTTCAAACGGTTAATAAGTTGTACGGATTACCTGCTGCAGCATTGAGATTAGAGAAATTTCCGTGTAGCTGTTACTGAATAGTGACTTGGGTTAAACTATCGTGGGTTACGCTCAGGCGAAATAACAGTTGCTGATACCCGGTTTTCTTTCCAATAATAGTAACACTTCGCAGTGACATAAACCGTTAGCCTATATAAAGTTTGCCTATTCCTAAGGCTTTTTTAGCGCCAATTATTCTGAATCAATATTGTTGGCCAACACGATCTTCATTAAGTAACTTATTAGGCTATAAAAATAACGGGACTGAGCGGTTCATATCGACATATCATGCTGCGAGTTTGTGTAGCCTGTAATTAGAAGCAATAGTAAACACGCGCTAACAGCTAATTAGGGTTATTTCAAAGTATTCATGATCGAATCTTGATTACAGGCCTCTCAAATCCTTCGAGTTTATTCTCTAAGGTTGCCCAGTCGCCATGATTGTAAACGGTGGTCAGTGCCATGAACAGCCTTGCTGTCTGTCGAAGGTGTCTCATTTGAGTTGTCTGAATTTCAGTTGGGTATTGCTTCCAAAGCCCCATGTGTCCGTTGCACATAGGTAACACAATGTGTGAAATAACGTATGCTGTCGAGGGAATACTGTCATGAAACTGATTAATATTTGGTTTACGAAGAAACTGTTGAATTAGTTTGTGATAACGGCATCCGCCACTCGATTATACCATTTTGGTTTGTAACGTAGATTGGTATCACTGTTGTATCTACTTTCACATTTGTCAAGGGATTTGACGCTATCCGGAAGGAAAGTAAGGTCTCTATTAACAAGATGTAGCCCGGTTGCTCAGTAAGGATCAGAAATGTCCTGGCTTTATAAATGTCATATCTTCGGACTCGACGCTGCTTTCCTAGAGACGTGTAACTCGTATTCAGTAATTCATACGTAGACTGCATCCGTCGAGCACCTTAGTATCTCCGTGGTTTAATGAAGGGTGAGTTGCTGTTGTCTTTGATGTGCATTTTCAATAATGATTATCTGAGTGTCGTGAGGTCTGTTTGAGTTACGTAGGATACATAACAGCTTTCCCAATTCGAACAAATAAATGTTTTTACAAAAGGGGCAGCAAAATGAGAGTGCCCTGTATTATGACGGACGAGTCATTGTTATTCTAGACGAGAATTTAACTGCTGTCGATATCAGAGAGACCGACCGCAACACTAGGCAATGTTTATCCGTGTAGTCCCACATAACAGTATGTCGAAAAATCCATTCCCCACTAGAAATTGTATATCAGAATGTTATAGTCCGTATTCTCTCAGTGAACTGAAAGTAGACATACTAATTCATTCCACAAGACAATTCGTGCGAAGTATCCTTTGAAATGCAAACTGAGGGTTCGGAAGACAGTCCTATGTTACAAGAAACTAAGGACTGACGAAGTGCTATTGTGTGAGCTGGGAATATTCCAGGGTAATCCAGTCTAGTAAAATGGCGAAAGGACCTGGGGGTTCTTCTAAAACATGTACCTAGTCAGCGGCATCAAGAAACTACTAGCGTTTTTAACGTTTATGTTATTGAGCCTCCATATATTACTGATTCTTTTGTGCTGCCTCACACAATGTACGTAAGAACTACTGGAAATTGCGAAGACTTACTGTGTGCATATTGAGCTCGATACCTTGGTAAACTTGTTTAGGTCACACCTGATGGCCTATCTTTTCAACTCCTACTCTGTTGAGCATTAACTACAGCTTTAGAAAAACCAATAATCCAGTCAGTCCATACTACCAATTACTTAGTTTATTAAGTCGTGAATTATGGACTATGGCTCGCTGCCGTTTGTGACGGAATGTGAGATCAAAATGGGCACTTAGAAAACCAGGTGATATATTCCCACCTTGCAAAGCCATAGTAAAATCTAAGTTGAGAAACTTGGCACATAATCGGGGCTACTGTTTTAGATGTCAGAAAAAAGGACGTAACTGCATCTGCCTTCCCAACTCAAGGTCAAACTGGGCAGTCGGACCTGGTTATTCAAGTTATCGTAGGTTAGGTGTTTTATTATGTACAAGGTACTTGCTTTTCCTTATTCAATATTGACTTATGTTGTCTGGTATACCTCATTGTATCAGGTGTTGCAGCTGATGCCGAGGTTACTTGTTTACGGATTCTGTGGTTCCCTCACGTGATATTTATAAAGAATTTTACTTACGAAAAAGGCGTTTATTCCCGTAGCTATAGTGTTATCATCTAAGGTGATTCTAAATCTCTTAAAATCCAAAGGGAGCCGAAACTGCTTACATAATACTTGATATATGTTAATTACTGATGGGTTCTTACACATGCTGATATAATTTATTCTGATTAACACTTCATGACCACATTACTGACGGAAAATAAATTCTCAGATGCCTATGAGACTAAAATTGCACAATCCATCCATTATCGTTCTGCCAAAGGTAATAAGGATTACTGAAATAAAAACTAATACAACATTTGAATGAATAGTGACAACACTTCAAGTTTTATCAATTTTTCCAGTTATTACTCAACGTTCAAAACTAAGTGGTGAAACCATTTCCAGGTGTAGATTATTTCTACAAAGTTGACTTGCTGAAGTAGACATACTAATTAAAATATTGAGAAATTCCTAGTCACTTCGCCTCCGAAAGCCTACATGAAAATTAAAGAATTATGATTAGTCATTCTATATATATATTATTTACTTAGACGCATAAGCACTGGTACAAAGAGGCACCAAATACACATAGGCCACACTTCGTTATCCGATTTGTGTGAGGACTAGAATACTGCCCGGGAGCCCAAACCGAAGCAGGTGGTGTTCTTATGGGTCCACTCTCCGAGCCTTTGATCTAGAGGTCTTATTCATCAAGCAGTTGAGCAACACTAGGAAGTGCAGTCCCGTGATAGTCGGTGACCAACAATTAGTTCGTACGCCATTTGATCCCTCGGGGTCTCCCACCCCCCTCACTAGATGGATCCTCCGTACCCACCCAACCCGGTTAATTCGTCGAACACTCGCTTTTCGTAAAAAAAAACACCCATTGCCAGAAGGCAGTGAATAGGACTTTCCTGTTGGTGGTTGCATATGTGTGGCCATATGAGAGCATTTCATGAGAAAGAGCTGATTCTCCCCACTCTTGGCCGTACCAGGGCATTTGGGGGGGGGCTATATATATGTATATACCTACTAATCGTCCACCTAGAAACTTAAACTTCAAATGAGTAATTTCCTCATGAACGCAACTTGGTTTACAGCAGTCAACCTACCTTATGTTACTTATTGGATCGTCTTGTGTCTGTCTGCAAGTCAGTGTATCTATTCTTGTGAATCATGTCTGGTCGTGGTAAGGGTTTGGACAAAGGAGGAGCCAAGAGACATCGCAAGGTATTACGCGACAACATCCAGGGTATCACTGATGTTACTTATTAAAAATCAGAAGCTAAACCGAAATCCATAAAGTGCTAGACTATCAGCAAACAAATTATATGAATATGTATTAGTAAAAGATGCCTGGTTCGTTAATGGCAAGTTACATCACTACTATGCCAACGCCGACATTTTCTGACAGGTTGGAAAGGATTCAGAAGCTACGCAACACGTAATAACTTCTGTTACGTCGTAATCCATTTCTAAAGATGACGCAACACCGAATTACCAACCATATAGGCGACCACTGACTTGTTTCGAATTCATGACGAATAAACTTGTCCCGATGTTCATAAGCCAGTGTAAAAAAGGTACCTGTGAGAGTATACAACCAGGAATGAGTCTTAATTTTATACATTCAAATAGTGACAAGTGGAGTCAAACAATTTATCAAGGTACAATGATCTACTTCGGAGTACCTTCGTAAAGTGCAAAACGTGAAGTTAAGATTGTAGATATTTCATCTCACTTAAGCATGACATTTATGTTCTTAGGGAGCAAGACGTCTTTATAGCTTACTCTTATTGAAGATAGCCTACTGGAAAAATGCTTATTGAAGAGTTCACTCAAACGTAACAGTTGAAGTCGACTTTATGAGTATTAGGGAATAGATTGATTAATAAACACTATTTCAGGTTTGAGAAAATGATAAGCAAATACTGTCTCCAACTAACAGGACTTGAATGTGAAGATTTCAGTGAATTAATGTGTACTAATTAAGTAAGAAGTTTAACTTCATCGTTTTTTTCGTAATATATGTCGTTATTCGAACATCTATCAGTAGGATCTAATTGATAAGTCAGACATAGGTTACGTCAGCCATTCCATTTTGACTGCTTTTCATGAAGAATTAGTGTAGTTATATTCAACATTTACTTATTTCAAAGCAAATCATATGATTGATTTATTACGCAGGTGTTTGAAAATGTTTATTAACCTGTATTTGATTATCTACGGCTTGTTATGCAGACACTTTCGTACTGTTTTATGATTTTGAGTCATACAAATAGTAAAACGTATTTATGGACATATGTGACATACCACCCTAAAGAGCGTTTACACTTGTTGAATATGTAGTAACTCACATTCGTAATTACAGTATAGATAAATAACATAACAGCAAGTATTGAAACACTTGGATTATTTTACGGGTTTTTACTAATGATATTCCCATCGTAGAATTATTAGGTAATTGGATCATTGTATCTCTACATTCCCTTTATTGCGAGCTTCCTTTGGATCCATAGACTGGACGCTTTATTTTTCATTGGTTATTTTTAATTAATTATGTAGCGTCTGCTACTTTCCCTCCTACTTATGACATGAATATACGTAAAGTAATGATTTCATACTAGGGTGTGTTCTGGTCTGATAATATGCGTATATAAACTAATGACCGAAC